AAAACAGCCAATGTAATCCACAGTATAAGCATTCTGAAAAAAAAATATGATCATCTCATTAGATGATGGTTTTGAAATAATCTTTGACAAATTATAACACCCCTTCATGATAAAAGTCTTGGAGAGATTAGTGATACAAGGGATACACCTAAACATAATAAAGGCAATTTACAGGAAGCCGATAGCCATCATCAAATTAAATGGAGTGAAACACAAAGCAATTCCACTAAATTTAGGAACAAGACAAGCTGTCCACTCTCTTAATACATATTCAATATATTTATTGAATTTCTAACTGAAGTAATGAGACAACTTGGGGAAATAAAGTGGATACAAATTAAAAAAGGAAGAAATCAAAGTATCATTATTTGCAAATGATATGATAGTATATATATAAGTAACCCAAAAATTCTACAAGGAAATCGCATAGCTATGGACATCTGATTTTTGATAAAGAAGCCAGAAATACACAATGGAAAAATAAAAGCATCGTAACAAATGGTATGAGTCTAACTGGATGTTAGCATATAGAAGAATGCAAATTGATCCATGTCACCCTGCACAAAACTCAGGTTCAGGTGAATAAAAGACCTCCATATAAAACCAGAAACATTGAACCTAGTAGAAGAGAAAGTAGGGGATATCTTTGTACACATTAATGCAGCAGACAACTTCTCAAATAGAATACTGATAGCACAGGCATTAAGATCAACAATCAATAAATGTGACCTCATGAAACTGAAAAGCTTTTGTAAGTCAAAGGACACTGTCAATAGGACAAAATGGCAGCTTACAGAATTGGAAAATGTAGCTAGAGTTTTCCTGCCTGGCCCACAGTCAGGATAAATCTCTCTCACCTGCCAGTCCCACAGCCATCAGACCCAACCAAGTAAACACAGAGATTTATATTGGTTACAAACTGTATGGCCATGGCAGGCTTCTTGCTAACTGTTCTTACAGCTTAAATTAATCCATTTCCATTAATCTATACCTCGCCACATGGCTCGTGGCTTACCGGCATCTTCACATGCTGTTTGTCATCGTGGCGGCTGGCAGTGTCTCTCTGACTCAGCCTTCCACTTCCCAGCTTTATTCTCCTCCTTGTCCCGCCTACACTTCCTGCCTAGCCAATGGCCAATCAGTGTTTTATTTATTGACTAATTAGCAACACATTTGCCATACAGAACATCCCACAGCAGGAAAAGATTTTCAACAACTCCACATCTGACAGAGGGCTAATATCCAAAATACATAAAGAATTCAAGAAACTATACATCGAAAAATGAAATAATCCAATTAAAAAATGGGTATAGATCTAAACAGAGAACTCTTAACAGAGGAATCGCAAATGGCTCAGAAACACTTTAAGAAATGTTCAACATCTTCAGCTGTCAGGGAAATGCTAATCAAAACTACTTTGAGATTCCATCTTCTGCCTGTCAGAATGCCTAACATAAAAAACACAAGTGACAGCTCATATTGGCAATGATGAGGAGCAAGTGGAAAACTACTCCTTTGCTGGTGGAATTTCCATAGCTACTATGGAAATCAATGTGGCAGTTCCTCAAAAAATTGGGAATTGATCTACCTCAAGACCTAACTCTACCACTCTTGGGCATATACCCAAAGAATGTTCCATTCTACCACAAGAACCCTTGCTCAATCATGTTCATTGCAGATTTATTCATAATAGCCAGAAACTGGAAACAACTTAGATGTCCCTCAACAAAGAATGGAAAAGGAAAATATGGTACATTTACACAATGGAGTGTTACTCAACTGCTACAAACAACGACATTGTGAAATTTGCAGGAAAGAGGATGGAACTAGAACAGATCATGCCGAGTAAGGTAATCCAGACCCAGAAAGACAAACATGGTGTGTATTCACTTATAAGTGGATATTATCTGTAAAAGAAAGGATAACCATGCTACAATCCATAGACGTAAGTAAGCTAAGTAACAAGGAAGCCTCAACGGGGGATCCTTGGATTTCCATGGGAAGGGGAAATAGAATAGATTTAATGGGTGGACTTGGGACAGGTGGGGATGGGACCACTCGGGATCAGATGGGGAGAAGAAAATACTTGGAGAGTTGACTTGAATTTGGAGGCATTCATGGGACAAGGTAGGGATGTAGTATGGTGGAAACTACAAGAGTGACCCTAGTGAACTCTCCTAGTAATGGGAGATACAAAGCCTACACTGGCCATCTTTTATTACCAGGCAAGACTCCTAGCAGCTGGACTGGGACATCAACCCAGCCACAAAACCTTTGACCTATAATCTGTCCTGCCTGCAAGATGTACTGGGATAATAGTGGTGCAGAACTTGTAGAAGTGGCCAACCAATGACTGGTCCAACTAGAGGCCCATACCATGAGAGAGAGCACACTCCTGACTCTACCTGGATGTCCAGGAACCAGAAGCAGGACAGCCCAGAAACCCAAGATAGAACTAAATACAGCTGCCAAAAAACAGTCAATGAAATAATTCCTAGTGATGTTCTGTTACACTCACAGATCAGTGCCTAGTCCAGTTGTCATAAGGGTTTCATCCAGCAACTGATGGGAACAGATACAGAGACCTACAGCCAAATGCTAGGTGGAGCCAGGAGAACCCCACAGAAGCGGGATAGAAATGGACTGTATGTAAGACAAATTTTAAAAGGTCTTATTAATAAAAAACCTGGAGCCAGAAATTGGGGTAAATTCTGAAAGATCAGAAAGACAGAACAAGCCACAACCAACCTCACCTCACCAGCTCCTCAGCAGATCTAGTTTCCTCAGATTGAAAGCCTCTGAGTCCTCACCCAAACAGATCTTAGCTAAACTGCTGCTAAAAACCTTCTAGTAAATCCTCAGCCCAAGAGCCTCTGAGTCCTCACTCGAAAGGTCTTAGTTGAACTGCTTAAAAGCATAAAACCTTAAAATCCTCTAGTTCCTGGTCCTCAGGCCTTACATACCTTTCTGTTTACTGCCAAAACTTCCTGGGATTAAAGGTGTGTGTCTTTCCCAAGCAAGGACATGAGATCTCAAGTGCTGGGATTAAAGATGTGTGTCATCATGCCTGGCTCTGTTTCCAGTGTGGCCTTCAACTCACAGAGATCCGGAGAGATCTCTGCCTCTTGAATGCTACGATTAAGGGTGTGTGCCACCACTGTCTGGCCTCTATGTCTAATCTAGTGGCTATTCTGTTCTCTGACCCCAGATAAATTTTATTAGGGTACATAAAATATTGGGGGATACAATATATCACCACAAGTGTAGGAACCAGAGGAATAGAGAACACTGGGAGAACATGGCCCACAGAATCAACTAATCAAGACTCACAGAGGCTCACAGAGACAGAATTAACAAATATGGACCCTCTACGGGTCGGAGCTAGGTCCTCTGCATATACCCTGTGGTTGTGTAACTTGGTGTTCTCATGGGGCTCCTAACAGTGTGAATGGTGGTTATCTCTGACTCTTTTGGCTGTGCTTAAGACCCCTTTCCTACTATTGTATTGCTTCTGCCAGCCTTGATATGAGTGATTTTGCCTAGTCTTATTTTAACTTGTTAGGCTATTTTTGGAGGATATCCCTGGGAATCCTGCTCTGTTTTGTGTGTGTGTGTGTGTGTGTGTGTGTGTGTGTGTGTGTGTGTGTGTGTGTGTGTGTGCGTGCATGTATGGTGGGGGATAGGGAAGGGGAGTGTATCTGGGGGGTAGAGGAGTTAGGGGAGGAACTGCGAAGAGTGGAGGTAGGGGAATCTGAAGTCAGGATACAGTGTATGAGAGAAGAATAAAAGAAAAATCATTTTTTCATAAAATAATTTTGATCATATTTCTTTACCTTCTCCAATTCATCATCTCCCTACTCACTCAATTTCATGATTTTTTCCCTCTCTTTCACACCCCTAAAAAAGATGAAAACCCAAACAAACAAATAAATAAAAATAAAACAACAACAAAAAAAACCATGGAGTCTCCTTCAAATTGGTCAACTACTTCTGGGCACGAGGACCTTCCTAGAGAATAGTTGGTATACCTAGTGTTACTCCACTAAAGAAAATGGATTTTTCCCTTTCTCAGCATGTATCAGTTACAAATAGCTCCTTGGTTAGGGTTGGAAATTTGTACCCACATCCCCTTCTCCATGTTGAGCTCTTTTCTGGTTTGAACCTGTTCAGTTTCTGTGAGCTCATATGTGTATCAGTCCTGTTGTATCTGGAAGATCCTGTTTCCTTGGAGTCATCCATCTCTCCTGGCTCTTTTAATATTTCTGCCTCTTCTTCCACATGGATATTGAGCCTTGATGGAAAGGTTTTGATGAAGGCATTCCATTTAGGGCTTAGTGCACCAATGTCTCTTGCTCTCTGAACACTGTCCAGCTGTGGGTCTCTGTCAATTACCATCTACTAAAGAGAGAGTCTTATGGTGTTTGACTGATGCACTGTGATAGCAATATGTTATTAGAAGCTATTTCATTGCTATGTTCTGTTAGCAGAATAATATTAGTATGTTTTCTTTAGGGCCCATGATCTATCTATTCTAAAGTTATTGGCCACTTTAACAGTGTCAGGTATGATTTCCATCTCATAGCATGGGTCTTAAATAAAGTTTTAACTGTACTTGGTTACTCCCATAACATTTATGCCGCTATTATAGTACTAGTTTGCCTTGTAGGTACATCTCTGTTGTATGTGACAGGCTTTACAGCTGGATCAGATTGATGATTACTTTTCTTCTCTGCATAGTTCCTTCCAGCACAAAGGATGCTAGTTAGCATGGGTGAATCTAGCTGGGAACCAGTTTGATTTCTCCATGTTCAATGAAACAAGTAAGTGGTGTCTTCAACACTAGGTCTTTATCATCAGGTTGTGGAAGGTAATCAATTGTCTTGGCAATATTCTGTAATTTTGGAGGGTGGTTGTGGGATCCGTTAGGCCAATGACTCAAAAAGATATAAACCACTCTGGTCAATGGAAATTTGACTTCTGACATAATATACCTATTTGGTGTGCTTGCTTTGGCAGCACACATACTAAAATTGGAATGATACAGAGAAGATTAGCATGGCCCTGTGCAAGGATGATACACAAATTCATGAAGTGTTTCATATTTGAAAAATAAAAGATATCTATTTGGGACATTTTCTCCCTCATTATATTTGTGACTCAATTTAAGTTCCTTTTATATGTATATACCAGAGGGTCTCAACTTGTGGGTCATGGCCCCATTGGGGGGGGTCAAGTGAGCCTTTCACCTGGGTCTCATTTTAGATATCATGAATATAAGATATTTATATTATGATTCATAACAATAGCAAAATTAAAGTTATAAAGTAGCAATGAAAATAATTTTATGATTGGGAGTTACCATAACATGAGGAATTGTATTAAAGGGTCTCAGCATTAGGAAAGTTGAGAAACACTAGTGTATACAATTTAAGAAGCTTCTACTATTTAGAAAGCTTTCCACACAGCTTTGCCAAAGACTTCTAGTGTTAATTATCCCATACCGTATTGCCTTCTTTTTCCTGTCCTCACAGTTGCCTCCACATTTAATCGCCTTTGTTTCTCCTTTATCTCTTTTATAACACTATATTGTATTACTCTTTCCTTGGAACATCCACCATACCTCCTGGTCCCTTGTTAATTGCCTAACTTCTATGGTTATTTGGACTGAAACACATATATAGAGATAGCTTAAAAACTGGCATCCACATATAAGAAAAAAAAACATGTAATATTCTCCCTTTTCTATCTGAGTTACATCACTCAGGATAATTCATTCTAGCACTTCTCCGTTCACTTGCAAATTTCACAATTTCTTAATGGTGGATTACATTCCACTGTGAAAATGTACCGTCTTTTCACTATCCATTCATCTGATGATGGGCACTTAGGCTGTTTCTAATGTTTGGCTATTATGGTTATATGAATGAGCCAGTATCTATGGAGTAAAATATAGAGTCCTTTATTTACCTAAGAGTGGTATAGTTAGGCCTTAAGGTAGGCCAACTTTAAGCTTCCAGAGGCATCTCTACACTGATTTCCATAGTGGCAATACCAAGTTTGTACTCCCTCCAGCAACGAATAAGTGAATAAGTGTTTCCTTTTTCCTCATTCTTTCCAGCACGTGCTGTTATTTGTTGACAGTTCTGAATGAGATGAGAGGAAATCTCAATGTAGTTTTAATTTACATTTTCTTTATAGCTAAGGATGTTAAACTGTTTCATAGCCATTTGTGTTTCATTCTTTGAGAACTCTCTGTTTAGCTCTGTATCTCATGTTTCTATTGGGTTATTTGTTTTCTTGATGTTCTGTTGTTTTAGTTATTTATCTATTCTAGATGCTAACCCTCTCTCAGTTGTGTAATCAGTAAATATTCTTTCCTATTCTGTAGACTGCTGCTCTGCTTGAATAATGATGTCCTTTGCTATATAGAAGCTTTTAAACTTATGAGGTCCCATTCATTAACTGTTAGTCTAAATGCCTGCACCATTGATATTCTGCTCAGAAAATTCTCCTCTGTGCCAATGATTTCAAGCCTACTGCCTACCCCTTTCTATCAGATTTCAGGTAGCTGACCTTATGTTGAGGTCTTTGGTGCATTTGGAGCTTAGTTTTGTGCAGGGAGATAAATATGAGTCTATTTATATTCTTCTACATGCAGCCATTTAATTTGTTGAAGATGCTGTCTTTTCTTCAGTGTGTATTTTTGTTTTCTTTGTCAAACTTCAGATATCTATAGGCATATGGGATTGTGTCTGGCTCCTCAACTCTGTTCTATTGACCAAGGTGTCTGTTTCTATGAGCATACCAAGCTATTTTTATTAGTGGAGACCTGTGATACAAGTTGAAATCTGGGATGCTGACACTTCTAGTGGTTCTTTAATTTCATTATTTAGGATGCTTTTAGCTATCTTGTTTTTCTCTTATCTCCTCTTTTTTTTTCTTCTTTTTCTCTTTTCTTTTCGTGTGTGTGTGTGTGTGTGTGTGTGTGTGTGTGTGTGTGTGTGTGTGTGTATGTATGCTTACACAAGAAGTTGAATATTGTTTTTCAATTTCTGCAAAGAATTGTCATGGAATTTTAATTGAGATTACATTGAATCTGTAGATTGCCTTTGGTATTATGACCATTATTCACGATAATAATCCTACCAATGCATGAAAATGTGAGATCTTCCCATATTTTCAATTTCAATTTCTTTCTTCAACATCTTAAAAGCTTTTACCATACAAAACTTTCACTTGCTTAGCTAGTTATCCCAAGATTTTTTAAAGCTATTTTGAAAAGCACAGTTTTCCTGATTTCTTTCTTTGTATGTTTATCAGTTTTATATTGGAAGATTACTGATTTTATGTGCTAATTTTGTTTCCTACTACATTACTGGAAATATTTAGCAGTTGTAGAAGTTTCCTCATGGAGTCTTTAGGTTCCTTTGTGAACAAAATAATATCACCTGCAAATTAAGATACTTGGACTTCTTCCTTTCCTATTTGTATCCCTTTGATCTCCTTAAATTGTCTTATTGTTGTAAGACATAAGTACTATAGTGAATAGGCATGGCAAGTGAACATTCTTTTATTATTTCTGATTTTAGTGTTCGTGAGTTGAGTTTCTTTTCATTTAAGATGATGTTAGTTGTGGGCTTGCTGTAAATTCCATTTACTATCTTAAGACATGTCTCTTGTATCTCTAGACTCTGGTTGAGAGCTGTTCTAGGGTTAGCAGGAGTTACAAAGGGATGTACATGGACTTAAAGAAAAGGGTAAAAGAGATGACAGGAAAGAATTAACTGGAACAGTATGGAGGACAAAGTTCACCCACCTAAGTCCCAGCCTAGTGTGGTGCTATGGTTCCCTGGTAGAGAGCAGTTCTTTCAGTCAGTGGAAGATAAAGGAATGGAGATGGATTATAAGAAAAGGCTCAGAGCTTCAGGGAAGAATTAGGGGCATCCTGAGTCTGCTCCAAGAGGTACAGTTCCTAGTGGATGGAGGGGGACTACAACATGGAATATTAAGAGCAAACTTTTTGGCAAAACTCTCTGATACAAATGCACTGTAAGAAAGCTGTGGTCAAACATGGAAGTATTACTTTTGAGCAAATGCAGACACTCCTTCTATAAATAAAATTCAAATATGGGATAGTAAAAGAACAATTGTCAGGGTTTGGTAAGAGAAAGAGAATGTGTGTGCTGACATACATTCATATGTATTAGAAAGAAACAAATGTAACTTGCTAATTTCACCTTCTAGAAAACATGAATTGCCAATAAAGCTATCTAGATTGTATTTTATGTATTGAATTATGATCATGTTTGTGTTAAAAATTCTAACTTCAGGAAATGTCATGAGGAAGCACTGTTTTCTTATAGAAGGTTCTGTCTTAGACAGAAAATGGCCTTCCAGCCGGAGCAGGGCACACAGGGTAGCCCATCAGCCTGTCATGCTGGCACTCCTGCTGTGACAGCTTCTGTCACCCTAGAAACGCAGTGCCAGGAGCCACTTGTATGGATGCCAGTACAGTCTCTGGGGTTGTGGGTCAGAGAGCACATCCTGCTTATTCATGGGCCAGCATGAGGAATCCTCAATATTAATGTTCCAAAGGTTGGGCTAAGAGTACAGTGGCTCCATGGCCACCAAGCAAGTTAGACAGAGAGACAATATGATGCACAGAGCAGCCTTTCTGGAACTACCCATTTATGACATTACCCTTTTGTGGAGATAAGGATCCAGTGCATCAAGCAACACAGGTCACAAGCTGCATGATGTAGCTCCAGGAATCATCTTGTTCATGTAGTTGGTATCTGTCATTCTAATTCTAAAGACAGAGAAATGAACTACAATTCAGTTGCTTTTTCACTATTTTGTTAAAATCAGTAAAATACAGGTCTTTTGTTAATAATTTGCCCATACTGGGGATTTTTTCATCAACATACAGCTCTACTTCATATTTTAGTAACAACAACTCTAATGGTAATAAAACATTAAAACATAGTCTTGCCTAGCAGATTAAAAAGATAAATAAAGGAATTACTCTGAAGAAAACAATAAACAGATCGTCTGGTTAGGTTCCCGATGTGTCTGTGGAAGACGTGTACCGTCAGTGGAAATGGCCCATTAATGTTCACATGGTGCTTTTCTCAATGAAACACTTCCATTCCGTTACAGTGAATGTTTGTAAATAAACAGATAATTGAGGGGCTTGAAGCATGGTTTGCTGGCTCAGACCACTTGCTATTCTTGCAGAGACCCAAGAGTTCTGTTCTAAGCATGTACATTTGACAGCTTAGAACCACCTATAACTCTAGCCCAAGAGGCTCTAATGTCCTCTTTTGGCCTCTATGTGCACCAGATGCATATGGTGCACATACGCATACCAAGAGACACATTTATCTGCATATAAGGTAAAACAAGCAAATAAATCTAAAAAAAAAAAAAAACCCATAAAAGAATCATAAAACTCTGATTGCTGCAGTGTCAGTCCTTAAAAATGGGTAACTGTGGAGAGTTCACAGCCATGTTGTCCTCATGGTGGTCATTTTCTGCCCACACAGATATTTGATAGAAGTAGTGTTTCTCTTCCTGTTGGTAAACGTGAAAGCAGGATCCACAGAAAAAGCAATCTGGCTGCAGCTTTGGTTTCAGCTTCTTTTGTTAGACAAGTTGACACTGTGGCTCTACTTTTAACCAGACTCTGATTCATAGAAAGAATTCTGCCCACTGTCCCCAGCCAGGCCCAACCTCTCTGGAACCCCATCCCAGCCCCCTCTACCCAAGTTCTTCCAAGCCTGTGTGTTGTGGCTACTCAGTCATTCAAAGGTGCTCCAGGAGTTTTGGTTTTATTTTGTTTAAGTGTTTGATCTCTTCAAAGCATTCACTTGCATATGTTTCTTTCTATCTGAAAGAGTACAGGAATCTTTTCCTAACATTCTCTAAGAGCAATTCCATCCAAAACACAAGAAGAGAGGCTTCAGTGCTCTCTTCAGTCCCTACTTCCCACAGCCGTCTATTATAACAGCTGTGCTATTCTAAAAGATTATAGCATTGCATATTTATATCTTAAGCTCTTTTGAGAGCCTCTGAACCTGTAGAATGCCATTAATCTTTTTCTTGTA